GTACATGTTACCATCGAGTTATTTTCAAAAAACCTTCAGAAATATATCTAACACTAAAATGTTTCTACCTATGTCCGTTATAGACAAAACATAAGAAACCATCCAACCAATTTCAATGAAAATGTTTGTGTGTATTTGGATGGATCCCTAGATGGTTTATATTTACATTTGGACCCGGTAGATGGCACTGTTGTCGAGATCCATAAATCACCAGTGCTGCAGCTGAGCCGCATCGCTAGTAATAAATACATTTAAATTAAGCCTGTGTTTTTGTAATCCCTACACAAACAGTTTGAAACATCTTACTTCCTCACTATTTATCATTGTGTAATAACATAGATAAGGCATGTTAATTCCTAGTCATTTTATTATGATGTATACTACTTACTAATCAACCAAAACATATTAAAACAATGTCTTGACACCGCTCCTGTCTATATATGTCAGTCAATCATCAAAGTTCAAAAAATTTATTAAATTAAGTTTGTATAAAAGGGGTTATTATAGTATAAAGGAATTTATGGCTGACAATAACCCGTAGGTAAGGTGATCGCTACCAAGCTATTTCTAATTTGTTCTGTGTTGTTAATTATGACATACATGATTGTAAGCTGCCTTTTTTTTTAAAAGACCCACTGGGTATTTTGCTGGTTCTCTTCAAGTCAGAGGTTTTTTCCGAACCAGTGGTAAATTAAAAAAGTGACTTTCAATAAGTATTATTTATAATCTAAATTGAATAAAAGGTTTCTGTTTCTGTACCTACTACTGTTAATAGAATACTTAAATAAATTATGATTTACAATAATAAATAGAATTAACTACATTATATTTTGTTTTTTGTAATACAACCAGTTTAAAACATCTTACTGTGTGTTGGTAATATCATAATTATAAATAGACATTATCCCTTAGCCATCTTGGTATTTAGAATTACACTCACAATCCATCAATACATGTCAAACTTAGAATCCATACGACATTTGTGCATAGACAGGCACTATGTTTTGCCGGAACTAGTGAAAGGTTTTACATCGATTTTAAAATATTTATAAATGCTGAATATAACTACAGCTTAGTTTAATATGTACTATTATTCAAGTGTGCACTATTTTAACTTATAATACCGATGAATACTACCAGAAAATCGCTTTCAGTTTGTTTTTAGGTTATTGTTAGATTCATATTTTATTTGTTAATTTCTCAGGACTCCGTTTAGATGCAGTAAAACTAATAATTTTATTGTAATCTATGGATTATAAGGAATAAATCGACATGCATTTCATTGATAATATTTAAAATTTGTAGTGGGCCCATTCTCCATAGAAAAATTGATTGTCTCCTTTGCTTAAAAAAATATTAGTGTCATTATGTAGACCAATTTTAGTTACATGAACCAACGTTCTCAATGTGCAAAAACCGAACGTATGCGATATCGTATCTTTACGCACAAAAATTTTCCCTTCTCGAGTCCACGTGTATATCCATTGAGCGCGCTTGCATTCTACGCGTGCCTTGTAAAACAGTTACCGGTTAAATTTGGTCAATCTTTCATTCATATGGAATTCAGATACGGCAGAATCGAGTCCTAGGTACGTAGTACTATTATTTATTCTGTGTCCTAGGCCCTCGTTGGTGTAACAGCGACGAACGCGCGTCACCGCCAACAGACTGTCCCAGACTCCCGGCACCGGTACACTGCGTACCCACCAAGTGCACCACCAAGCGACGGGGCCGTACACTAAGTCACTAACTACCACTGCGCTCATAATGGGCCCTGCACGCTCCGCATTCACGAAGTCTCGCTCCTCTAGAGTGACTCCCAACTTACAAGCTACTACCAGTACCAGGTGAACGGATCGTTCATTTTTTGCTTTGGTATTCCCGAGATCTCAATATCATTACACAACAACTTTTGGTCCCGATCGTTGAGTTCCGCCTTTAAATCAGCAAAATGTTTTCTAAATTAAAGGTGTCTAATTTTCTACCGTGTTGATGACATTCCACAGCCTCCACTCGAGTCTCGAGGCTGCCGAGTTGTTGGTTGCATCCTTTACTGCACAACTCTTTTAGCTATTGCCGTAGTAATCTTAGTTCAGTCGCTAATTCAGTGGGCTCTATATCCAATATAGTTGAAGTATGTGACTTGGAACCGATGGACTCAGCTTATTAGCGCGACCACTTAAGGTGATGTCAGTCTTCGATTCCCTGACATTTCCTTTTTCTTTTATGCCCTGTAGGCATGGTATTATGGAATAGTTTTTCACATACATTTGCGCACAGAAGGTCATATTGTTTGGTGCAAATATAACATTTTAAAAACTGTCTGCTAACAATTTCTTGTGAACATTCATTACAAAGGACTTTATTCATAGTTGGAGGCGCCATCTTTCTCTTTGCAGTGATAAACTCAAGTAGTAAGGTAATGAGGGCATTCACGACTTTTTCTGCCACCAGGGCGAGACCACCAAAGATATTTTAGTTCTATACGAAGTCTAAATATAATAATATCTTTGATCTAATATTTGACAAACATAGGACGTTAATTTGTTCGCAAAATGTAAATGTTTATGTTCCTTTCTGTACTATTAATTATATTTTGTATTAATTAGATTAAAATTAAATAAGTAAAAACAAAAGATAAATAATAAATAATAATAATAAAATAGAAAAAATAGTTTAAAATGTGCAAAAAATTAAAGATCAAACCACTGAGGCATTGTTTTGTGCTTAAATGTAATACTCTAGAAATTAATATAATATGATAAACTTCTATCTCAAACTAACTTCAATGCAATAATGAAATTTCACCTCAGTGTCAACTAGCGACATCTGATGAGCGGAAAATTATTAGCCCTCCTTCAATTGAGCGGGTGAAAATATATTTATTATTGTGGTTCTACGATTTACTTATAGATGGCGCCGTTACGCAATTCCCAATGAAATGTGAGTAAATTTTAAATTATACTGAGTAGGTAATAGCACAGAATAAATAAAAGTACTACGTAGTAATGGGTATATAACCGACACAAAGGTAAAACTAGTACTTTGTCATAATACATTCAAACTCAAATCGAGAATAATTACAAATTACCTAATAAAATCCTTTCAAATATTAAAGCCATATTGAAATCTGAAAATCAAGCTGCGACATTCAATGCTTAATATTATTATTATCACTTGTCCATACACGTTTCGTTCTATTCTATTGTCGTATGGTAATTTCTCAGAAAAAACAGTTCACTGTAGTGAATACAAAGAGCAACTTTAACCATGAATATTGTGGGTGTTCGATCCCCGCCGGCACCAATGAAATTGTTAATTGCAATTTTAAGTGCTATTACCACGTGGGCGGTGAAGGAAAACATCGTGAGGAAACCTGCATGTCTGAGGAATAAGAAAAAAAATATTTTCGAAGACATGTGAAGTTCGTCAACACGCATTTGGGCAGCGCGGCGAACACTTCCTTGCCCAAACCCTCTCAGAAATGAGGGGAGGCCTGAGTCCAGCAGTGGGACGTATATAGGCTGTAACTTTACTTTACTTTACTTGTGGGTGTTCATTTTCTTCCTTCTTTTCTTAGAATGTATAAAAATGTGCAAATTTAAAAAAACGCAATGAAATCAGTGACAGTTACTTTCATTCAATAATTTCTCTGCTATTTAAATACAGAAAAACAGCAGGAAAATATTATCTAAAATTGTTTACACTGCCATCTATTGGTAGATATGAAGGTGTCTTAGCCGTAGCCGTCTCAGAGGATTGGTTTGAATCTCTTAGCCGCTACTACACCGCAAACATGATACCTACCACGCACTTTGCAAAATGAAAAGTTTTATAACGTTTCTTGCAAATAATCATATTATTCTAAGTCGAACGTGGTGCAAGAGAAATCAGAAGTAGAGTGAGTTTACACACAATTTACCTACATCCATAAATATTTTAAAATAACTTTTTTTTAAAAATGAACAACAGGCTCATATATAGGACGTAATATCAAGAACCACCTAAGGCCTAAGGGTAAATGATACAGATTTTACGGTCAGACAGTATTTGTAAATTGCCGCAAGAGAATTAAGTTTAAACTAGAAATAAGTTTAGACCGTAGAATCTGTATCATTGAATTCTTAATGATACAGATTCTACGGCCCGACAGTATTTGTAAACCACCGCAAGAGAATTAAGTTTAAACTAGTAATAAGTTTAAGCAAATAAGTTGAAACTAATAAACTTTAAACTATTAGTTTAAAGTTTTTTAATTTGCGTACTCATTCGATGCAGCCAGCAGATTAAAATCGTAGTTACATGAGGCAATAGTGATTCACAAGCACGGCTCTGATGAAAATATTTTAGGCATATATTTTTGTTAAATTGATAAGGTTTTCCATACATATAATTGACAATCTTTCGCAATATATGTAGACTATTTACACTGGAGGTATTTACAGTCAGTCTTAGAAATAGTTTTGGAATGTTTTTACCGACATCTATCGGAAACCATAAAAATTTCTTTGTGCTAATCGCACTTTAATGAATGTACGAGAAGATATTATTAGGTAATAGATTCTTTTCTACTAACATTATGAATATTAAGTCCCTCTGTACTGTACCGACATAAGACACAATACGTAAATATATAAGGTATTTTTCCACATTACTATAAAAGGTACCTACAATTAGGTTTAATTTATATACTTCAACCATTAATCTAGATTTTACTTAAAGCGACATCTTCATTTCATTTTATTTCACAGCATACTTAATTACGAATTGATAAAATGAACATAGATGGCGTTGGTTGTATTTTATGTGAAATGGATGAGTTATGAGGGAGCAAATTAATAAGATCTATATCTAATCAGGGTTTCCGATACTTTTTTTGCCGCCAGGCGGTGCTTCGTATGCGTCAGGTCCAAACAGCTGTCAGATAGCACAGATTCCTACCGAACGTATTATTTTTTTTAGTGAAATTTTATGTATTTGAAAGAGTTATTGATTTTATTATGGATTACGGCCAAAGAAAGGTTGCCGAACTGAAAATTGAGCTCAAAAAGAGAGGCGCAAAAGTCACTGGTACTAAAGAAAAGCTCATTGAAAGGTAAACATAATCTACTTCTATTTGTTTCCACAATTTGATTGTTTTTTTTTTTAACTACTAAATTGAAGTTATTTGTGTTTTAGTGAGTTGTTGTTGATTAATGTATATTATATATTCCAGGCTAAATGACTATGACAGAAACAACAACTTCAAATCAAATGAAAATGATAATTCTCATCTCTTAAGTGAGATTAATTATGTAATAGAATGGCCAGAAGAAAAGTTATACAAAAGTGTAGATTCAAAAACAGTTTTACCCAATTTTGACATTATTAACATAAATACGTATTTCCTTGAATTGTATAAAGACGGCATAGGAATGTCAGATTATTCTGCAGTGCACAGAAGAGGTTATAATATGCTGCAAAATAACTACCTACTCGCATTAGTGACCGCAAATACTAGTACACATATATTTTTCAAAGGTCAAGTCCATTCTGAAAATACAAAAGCCCTCACTTATTTTGCTTCCATTGCCATATGTAATGGAAGTGGATCTATTATACAATCGGTGTGTGAATGTGTAGCAGGGAAAGGACCAAAAGCCATTTGCAGGCATGTGTCAGTTTTGTGCTATGCTATACTCAAATTCCGAGAGCAGAATATATGGTTAATTAAAATGACTCCAACACAAAAAAAACAAGTATGGCATGTACCTAAAAAAAATAAACTTGATGTTTCGCCGAAAAAAAGCAGAGAACCTTTCATATGAAATAGCAGAATATAATGTTTGCAAAAAAAAAGAAAAGAAGTGTGTGCTATGATCCAAGACCACAGTCCTTTATCAGTCAGGGAAAAGAATGGGCTACAACAGTTAGAAATAAAGTCATTAACTACTGCTCATTGTCACAAAAAAGAATAGGATTATGTGGAATTTTGGACAGTGCAAACATGCAAGATGTGATACATGACCATGATTACCTACCTTTTCCTTTACATCATCAACTTATTCTTAATAAAATATCTGTAAGCCATTTATTCCAGATGAATTTATTTATTATAGTAGCTACGACTTGTACAATCTTATTGACTGTACTGTAGCAAGCGAGGTGGTGAATCATGAGAAGTTGTAGCTACTATATTTTTTTATTATTTAGTATATTATGTAATCATCAATATTAATTGCACTTGCATAGGGATTGTAGATGTTTGTTTAGGTTTATACTTTCATACTTTCCTTATCCTTTGCCCCTAACAGGTTACACCTGACTCAGCAAAGGAAATTGAAAAAGAAAACTAAAAATCAGACGAAGACAAAGTTATGGCATACAGAACGATCTTTTCGAGTGACTGCTTCAAGAGTCGGTGAGATTTGTAAATTTACTGCTAAAAAGGACCAAGAAAAGTATGCACAAAGCCTTATATGTAATAAGAAAATAGTAAGCACGGCCTTAGAATGGGGCAAGTCTATGGAAACCACAGCAATTGAAGCATATGAGGGGAAAACTGGAAAAAAAAGTAGAATGCTGTGGTTTATATGTTTCTGTGCAGTACCCTTTCATTGGCGCTTCTCCTGATGGATTAATTGGAGATAACAAAATTTTAGAAGTTAAATGTCCATATTCCATAAAGGATGAAATGATTGGATCCAACAATTATTTCCATTTAGAGCATGATTTGCAACTGAAAGAAACAAGCAACTATTATTACCAAATCCAAACGCAGTTACTTGTCACAGGAAGAGATTGTTGTGATTTATTTATATGGACTAATGTTGATGAAAAAATAATAAATGTTAAAAAAAATGATTCATTTATACAAAATATTATAATCCCTCGAGTAAAAGCTTTCTTTTTTCAATTTATGTTGCCAAAGATAGCAAAAAATATGTATGATTGTTAATATATTTTTATAGTATATTGTAAGATTCTATGTGATAGAAATTAGAACAAAGTTTAATTTTGTATTCTTGTTATTATTTAATAAAGTATGTTTAATACAGTACTGTTAAAAGCGACATCAATTAAATAAAATTGAAAAAAACATATTTTACTTTATAATATTATTTTTGAAATTGGTTAACATAAAACATACAAATATTATTCTATCTGCTAAAGGCACCAATTTTGAATCCAACTTGCCGCTTAAGATCTTAAAAGTTTTAGCCAAACCAATGACCCTTTCAACGTGTATCCGTTCTGAAGATATATTTTTTGACCTTGTCAGTTGAGAAGTCTCAAATTGTCCATCAGTATTTTTTAAAAATTCTGGCACATTAACTGTAACATCTTTATGGCACACTAGGTCTTGTACATTAAAGCCACGGTCACTAAAAATGATATCATTAGGTTCAAGTTTATCAATAAGTCCACATTTTTCAAACAATTCACGATCACTCGTAGATCCACCATATGCATCGGATACAAATGTAACGCAGCCTGATGCTGAAATCCCAATTAAAACTTTTAGAGTATTTGCTGATTTGTAAGTGGAATATGTAAGCTGTTGTGTAAGTGGATTTTTGGGCTTCTCTATTTTTATTTCCGTGCAATCTACTATCACAGTGCATGGATTAATCTTGCCATAGTATTTCATATTTTTATCTATGCATTGTTTTGGCACCCAAACATTTAACTCTTTCAATTTACAATATAAGTAATTGATCCATGTTATGAAAATGTTACTTAGTACCGTTTTATTAATCTTCGATCGAAAGGCGAGTTCTGTAAATAGCATGTTCCGGCGTAATTTAATTAACACTAGAAGGAATTGATCACAAGGGTTTAGAAACGGCACCTTCAATGTTTTCAGTTGAGGATAATATTTTAAACAATTTACTTCATCTCCAAAAATACTAAATATGAATTTGATATGTTCATAATCTTGGAAACCAGTATAAAACTGTACTTCGGCCGCATTGGTTATATCTAGCACATTTGCAATTGAAGATTTTTTATTTTTATTTTCATTTTGAAGACATTCTTTAAGTGTTTTGAGATTATCACTTCCACATAAATCACATTGGATACCAACATCATTCTGTTTCTTCTCGAATTCAATTTCTACTTCGAAAAAGTTTGTAGTTCATGAGGAAGGTGTCATCCTTCTCTTTTTCATTGTTTATGTGTACTTGGACACTAATTTTCCTTTCATTTCGCGCCAAACGCCTTTGATGCCGCTCCTTCTTTTTTTGATGCAAACTAGAATTTTGGTCAATCCATGGGAATCGACTTGGCACTGCACATTTTTTCAACACAGGCCTGGCTGGAATAATAATTTAATAAATATAATGTCATAATGAAATCATTTTTGATAAGGCAAGTACTAAAAAACGTTTACACTACATCATTGAAGGTTAGTCGCGCACAGATATAATCAAGGTGACTTAACTGAAGCTTATCATTATAAATAAGTACAAAATATTCTTACGTTTTTCTAATACTGAGTCCTTCGGTAGCTGGTAATCATCCTTTGTGAAGTGGCTTTTGCAAACGAGGCTATTTTTCGTTGGAGTAAATTTATCTCTGCGAATGGCTACAAGCCACTGTTTTAATCGGTTTTTATCTTCTGTAGGGAACTTATGCCCTCCTTTTTTATTTGCACACATAGGCACTGCACAACACTGTGGCATTTTGGAAAACAATATTCTGTTTGTAACGTTTTTAAGGATAAATAAACCAAAAAAAATGATCGAAAAATATAAATCGTGTAAGTGTTTTGACAGGTAGTTGGACCTGACACTACAGCGCTGCCATCTCACGGGGAACATTTCAGAAAACCCTCATTGGTATACATATAATTGGAAACAACTGTCGCAAAAAGTATTGTAATCACAACTTTTAGCATCTATTAAAACAGATTAGAAAAAAATACAAATTATCGAATTTTAAAACGGGTTTACATGTCAATAGATACCTACGAACAGTTCAGAACACTTTATAGATTAGTACATTTCGGAACACTTTAGACAGGTATAAAAACATAAATATAATTACTCAGATAGCGTGTATTATCTAAGATCATGTCGTATATTTGCCAAAATTTAACAATGTTTCGGGTAGGGCTACACCACATCGAATCTAGCGGGGTGACCGCCACTAGATTGAATGGCGGGATGGTGGTAAAGGCAGTATTTGAGGGAAACCAATTTAAAACAGTTAGAAGTCACGATGAGCTGCAATTATGGTGGTGACCAAATTATAAATTAGTATTAAAAAATTAAAAATTAGATCAACAATACATCATAACGATACGATGTGGTTAATGTTACAGCCAATGAGATTAATAAAAAAGACAATATTTATAAGAAATAAAAATAATTCTAATTGGGTATCACTTGAAACAAAAGCAGTTGCGTTCGAGTTTTTGGTCTACGTCTAGATGGCGTTAGTTGTTGGATCAAAGTAAAGCGATCTCAAAATAATAAAAAACTAAGATTGCCACCACGCCTGCCAATCGTGGCAACTATGGCGAAATTCACACATATGGCAAAATCAATTCACCGCTGAACATAAGCCCATAGATTGCCTCATAATGGGGATAAAAGTCTGGGTTTCTTGCTGGTTCTTTCCAGGACAGAAGTATTTTCCGAACCAGCGGTAAATTAAACATAGGAGTGACTTTCAATAAGTATTATTTATAATGCATCATCATCATCATCATCATCATTACAGCCCTTCACAAGTCCACTGCTGAACATAGGCCTCCCCCAAGTAATGCCACAAAGCACGGTCCTGAGCCACCTGCATCATATAATGCATATTGAATAAAAAATTTATATTTCTGTTTCAGCAATACAGTCATCTTATTAGTTAGGTGTACATAATATGTAACTTAAATCTAAACCTCATCCTAGAGTATACCTACATATGCAAGCTTTTATGTATACTGTAACCTTCGTGTGCCGCACCACAGAATATATTTTGATAATTAAAAACCATTGAAGTAATAGGTGCGGTACAAGACAAAATCAAAGAACGCAATCCTAAAGCGCTGTTTACGCCTTGTACTAATCATTCGCTAAATCTATGTTGAGTGCACTTGATTTGGAGCGTTAGTTCAAATATTGTTTTTTTTTTTTCGGAACAGTAGATAGAGTTTTCACGTTCTTTTTATCATACACACAGAGATGGGAAATTTTAATAAACAGTGTAGGCGTATCCGTCCAAAAACTATCAGAGACAATATGTAGTGCTCATCACGACGCTGTTACATCATTGCAGAATAATTTTGAGAAACTTGTAATTAGCACTCGAAGAAATATGTGATCCCAGCAGCAGCAGAGAAATCGTCGATACAAGAGAAGCGGCATCTACACTGTTACCACCTTTGTCTGATTTCAGTTTTATGCTATTTTTCCTTTCGATGTAAAATCCTAGAAGAAGTTAATCAGACGCCAAAGTACATACAAACATCTACACTATCACTGCAAAAATGTGTGATAAAAATCAAAGCCCTAAAATTTTTCTTCAATGCCAACGTATTCAAATAATTGAAAAAGATACTTCAGCATGCAACAAAATGTAAGGACTTGGACATTTCGATTAAAGGAAGAGGAGAAATGAGATTTCGAAAGCGTTTGCCAAAAGAAATGACCCGAGATGCTGGACTAACTTTGAGGAGCTGCAGAGAGCTATGTTACAATGTCTTGACAGATTTTACGAAGGACTAGCCCATCGTTCAGGTTAATTGATGATATTCTCCGTAACATCTGCAGAAGATAATATAATTTTGGAGATTTTACGACTGAGGCGCCACCTAGTAGCTGCCAGAATTCTTCCTAAGAAGCGGTTCAATGGACTTTATTGGTACCTAAGTACTTCACAGATTCATCGTAAAATGGGGCTGAGTCTGTTCGAAATCTAGGGCTGTGTCTAAGATTTTTTTTAAATATTTGTATTTCAATAGCTTCATGTGAAAGAAGCTTTTCAAAGCTCAAGTTGATAAAACATCGAAAAAGTGGCTCCAGGCAATCGCCGTACTGATCCGAGTGAATAGATAATTTCTATAAACACTTGAAAAAACGCCACCATAAGGTCTAAAATTGCGTAGCGCCCGCGACGATTAAAAGCGCTTAGAAGTTGTCAGAATCTTAAAATATTTTTTTTTATTATTGATTTAAGTTATCAAAATAATGAGCAAGTAAATTATGAATATTAATGTTATGAATATATTTGAGTGATTCCCAAGCATATAGATTAAGTAATTTCATTGTAATTTCAACTATAGTGATTTTTTAGAGGTGTTTTCGCAAATAATTATGATCGAGTCAAAATTATTCAATCGTGTTTTTGAAGAAGAAAATTCAAGATAAAGACATGAATTTACCTATATAAAAATTCCACTTTAGTTAGTGGTGTCATAGTCCTATACTATTTGATGAAAGGAGGTGCATTAATATATAACATCTAAAACAATTTATGATATACGACGTAATGTCAAAAACCACATAGGGCTTAAGGGTAAATGATACAGATTCTACGGCCAGACAGTGTTTGTAAACCGCCACAAGAGAATTAAGTTTAACCTAGTAATAAGTTTAAGCAAATAAGTTGAAACTAATAAACTTTAAACTATTAGTTAAAAGTTTTTTAGTTTGCCCACTCATTCGATGCAGCTAGCGGATTTAAAATTGTGGTTACATGGCAATAGTGATTCACAGGCATGGCTCTGCTGAAAATACTTTAGGCATATATTTTTGTTAAATTGATAAGGGTTTTCATACATAAAATTGACAATCTTTCGCAATATAAGTATGCATACTATTTACATTGGAGGTATTTACAGTCAGTCTTAGAAATATTTTTGGAATGTTTTTACCGGCATCTATCGGAAACCATGAAAATTTCTTAGTGTTAATCGCACTTTAATGAATTTACGAGAAGATATTATTAGTTAATAATTCTTTACTACTAAGATTATAAATATCAAGTGCCACTGTACCGACATAAGACACAATACGTTAATACATAAGGTATTTTTCCACGTTACTGTTACTATTAAAGTATAAAAGGTACCTACAATTAGGTTTAATTTATAAACTTCAACCATTAAGCTAGATTTTATTTAAAGCGACATCTTCTTTTCATATCATTTCACAGCATACTTTAATTACGAATTAATAAAATGAACATAGATGACGCTGTATTGGTTTTTAATGTGAAATGGATGAGTTATGAGAGAGCAAAATAATAAGATCTTTATAATTGGTATAATACATATTAATTGTAAACAACTTTCGCAAAGAGTATTGTAATCACAACTTTTAGTCTCTATTAAAACAGATTGAAAAAAAATACAAATTATCGAATTTTTAAACGGGTTTACATGTCAATAGATACCTACGAATACTTTAGAACACTTTATAGATTACCAGGTATGAAAACATATATATAAGCATCCAATTACCATCAGGTAGACTATGTGCTCGTTTAACACCCTTATTCTATAAAATAAAAAAATAAAATAGTTTAGAAGGATGTAGTGTAGCCCTCACGACAATTTATATTAGTGTTTAGTTTAGAACGAAGAGCAGTATACTTAATTAAAGTCATAAAAAGAGTAACACGTCTCCTTTTCATTTAACACCTTCGAACATTAGGAGTTTAGTGACAAACACACGTACGGAAGAATTATATATGTATTTTTAACCTATGTAATAAAGATCGAAGTTTTAACCTGGGACCACTTAGGTATAAGGTTACGGAACGCAAGTGTTCCACTCGCGTTATGTACACGACGCGACGTGAGATCTGTTAATGGTGTGTTTGCTTTTGTTATTAGAATCATTCTTTATTTTGGTTTTATTCCGAAACTAATTAGACAGCTACCACCAGTTAGTTATTTACAGAAACTGACTCAAAATAATATTAAATACAAATTAACAACTACTATCTATGTATATGAAGTGTAACTTGAGCTTATTGTTCACGGTTACCTAGAATTGACAACAGATGTCACTACAAGTTTTAAAGTTCGTTGTTTTGTTTGACCGTACGTAAGTACGTACTACGTTGTATAAGTCGTATTTCTACTCCATCAATTCATCCATCACAGCCTATAAAAGTCTACTGCTGAACACAGGCCTCCCCCAGAGATTGCCCTATAGGGGGATTTTGCCATAATGGACACGCTTGGTTGGTTGCCAACCGCAGCTTTTTATTAATATAAGTTGTTATCAGGAAAATGCTGCTGCTCATCACCTGTTTCAACTTACCTCCGTCGTCTCTTACGACACCCACGGGACGATATGGAACAGTACATATTCTTACACCGCCACTACACAGTCAAGTCATACTTAGAATTTATACATTTTTACCACTTACAACGAAAGCATCGACACAGTCGCTTTCTTTATTTTAATGTTGTAAACATGTACTAAGTGTTTGTGGCTTGTGGAATTTGGAATCAAACACATATACATAATTATACACGATTAATACCTAAATATTAAAATACCGCTGTCCTGCGATATCACAGAATAAATAATACGCAATAACAGGTTTGACATATAAATATTCAATGTAGTTTTTTTACCTTACCTTACTTTCATTAATATTTGTTACTAGCTGTTCCCAGCGACTTCGTCTGCGTCGAAATTATTGCGATTCGTTTTCATGATTTTTTTTTGCG